TAATGAATAGTCCAATGCTATTTAACCATTTTATGATTTTAGCAATTTACTCTAGATAAATTTTATGTTTTCTAAAACTGCCTTTTAAAGCTGTCAAAAAAAAACAACCTTTTAAATGTCCCACCTCTTAACAAAGTGGAGGCGGTCGTCTACACGGAAATGTATGCACCATTATATGAGGTGGTTTCTTAAAAATATTACGTGTGGTATACTTAAAAGCTGTTTTTTGACAAAAATTTCTTTTTAATATATTCAGATTCTTTTTAATAAACTATCCTTTCCTCAAAATATACACTGCCTCTCTCTTATCTGTAGTTTAGCTTCATGGAGTTTAAGAAAAATGTTGATAAGTAAAAAGCATGGTTAAAGTTTGTTTAGAAAAGAGAAATGTTGTGACACACATATTTAATCCAGTTAATAGCAGATGTGAAATGTTTATTTGGGAAAGACAAAGATGGAAAGTGTGATTCTCATTTGGGGACAGAGGGAGTAATTGGTTATTTGATTTATTCTTTATACATGTCTAAGCATACTAATAGGGGTATGGTGATATAAATAAAATGGCAAGCAATAAGTTTACACAATGGAATTGGTGGAAATCTGGTATGATGAACTGCTAGAATTTTTGTAAAAGTGCATTTTCAAGGCCAATTGTAACTTTTATGTGTGAACCAAGTCATTCACTTTGAATTAAATAAAAGAGCTTCCAAGGAGTTTGAATTCTTAAAGCTAATGTTGTAAACTCAAACGATATTTATAGTGTGTTTTTTTATTATTTCTGGGCATATAAGGTAAATAACAATATAATAACAGCTGGTAATCTGTTATGGAAGGTAAATCTAAAAGCCTTTTCACTTCTGCTAAGTATTTGTGCAGTCGGTCACTCAATTGCGGAATACTCAATAGATCCTATATATACCTCATGGTCACTGTAATGGTGTCCTTTGTTCGATTGTTTTGCAAAAAATATAGGGTTATTGGTTTCATTCTTTTTGTAATTGAATGATTTGTCCTAATTCAATTTTTTACATTTCTGGCCGATAGCGTTATGAGGGCCTTCAGATGCTTGTTGGGGTCAAACATGACATCCCTGAAGGGTTTTCTTGGACTGTTCTTCAAAGACGTTTTGTTGGGAAGGAGGATGAAACTGGAAGAAATAATAGTTCATCAAAGATAGAGTGCAACTCAAGATTAGCTGTCGCGTTTTCGGTTATGGATGAGTGTTTTATGCCCATTGTCGATCAGCGAAGCAACATCAATATGATCCACAATGTTGTCTATAACTGCGGGTAAGTAGACTTTAGAGCAATATGTATAGCTGTAGGAGAGCCTCTATTTTCTTATATCTCAGATTGCTAATGTGAGTTCATCATTCTCAGATCAAATTTCAAACGGCTCAATTATTGTGGCTTCTTTACTATAATTCTCGAGAAGGGTGATGAACTTGTTGCTGCTGCATCCATAAGGTTGACTTTAAGCTGATCCTCAATGTTTTTCTTCTTCTTCATCATATTGATTAGTACAAGCTTCTTCTTGTTTTACCAAGACGCCCTCGGTGCCTCTAAAAAACATTTGTTGTTGCATATAGGCTACATGGGAGTGTGTTGGCTGAGATGCCCTTTATTGGTACAAGGCAGAAATTTCGCCGCCAAGGGATGTGCCGTCGGCTCTTATGTGCAGTTGAAACGGTAAATTTTCCAACAATGCCCTATTTGTAATTTCCCCATTTGAGTATTTTCTTTGTTTATTTATAAACACTTCTCTTGGTCAGGCACTTAGTTCGCTGGGGGTCGAGCAACTGGTTATACCTGCCATATCTGAACTTCATGAAACCTGGACGAAGGTTTTTGGTTTCTTGCCCCTTGAAGATTCAAAGAGACGAGAAATGACGCGCATGAGCTTGATTGTTTTCCCTGGCACTGACATGCTACAAAAACCTCTGCCAAAGAAGTGCCAAGGAATAGAAGAAGATCATATAATGTCTCCAGGTATGTTTTCACTTCAGTATAACCATCATGCTTTGTCTGTCCCATAATGTTTTGTTTGGTTAACAAGAGAGAAATAGAGGAGAAAGAAAAGGAAAGGAAAAGAGTGTGCATATAAAGACAAAAGGTGAACAAGTGAGTGGAAGAATTATGTGCTGTTTTAAAAATTCAAAAGTACCCCTCCATCTGGTATATATTTAAAAGTTGGTAATGCCAAAAAAAATTGTGCTTTTTTTAATTGTAGGGAAAAATAGAATAAAGAGTGGGGTCTGTGTTTTTTTTCCTTGGTCTTTCTTTGGTGCACCTAATAAAGGAATAAAGATGTGAGAAAACTGAAAAGTGGTAGGAAAGAGAGAAAAGCACTTTGTTTTGAAAACAAGAGACCCGTAGTCCAGTTCAAAATGAAGTCTATAATTTCACTCTATGGCTTTAATAAACGTGTTAAATAAATGGTAAAGCGTGGTTAGAATTTGTTTAGAAAAGAGAAACGTTGGGTGCCATTGCAAGTGTGAACATCATTTTGGAACGGAGGAGGATTACGTTGATCGAATGACAAGGGTATCCCGTCCAAATAAATAAAATAAAAGTAAAATAGGTAAAAACATTGGGATAATCAGATAAAAAAGTGTTTTCATGGCCAGAAATCTTTGCCACCGCGGCTCGTGCGTGTTCTCTGTTTGACTATATCGTTGCCCTAACCAAACACCCAATATTTACTTTTTCCCATTTTTTCTTTCCCCCCTGGGAAAAAACAGTCTCTTTACTTCCAAGTCCAGACCCTATTGTCTAATGAGATGATTTTCGTGAAGCCATTGCAGAGGAATCATCATCACCCCAGCTCAATGCCAACAAGAACTTCGCCACCGCGGAGGAGGCAGAAGAACCCCATGCCACATCACCCCTCGGCAGCAGCGGAGGCTTCTTGCACGATGCGCTCGACATGAAAACTGGTTTTGAATCTTTCGTACCGCAGGAAGCCCTCCGAGTCCAGTAGGGCTCCCCCCCCCCACACTCAAGTAATACTCTCATTGTGTACATGTATATATGAAAGCCGTCCAGGTTGGCTTTTGTTTCCCGGGGGGGAATATGCATTCTTTAAGTCTTCAATCTCTGGTGCTTCTTTTACCACTTTCTTGGGATTTTTTTGCAGAAAAAATGTGTATATGTCACTCACTGCCTTATGGGTTATATATGAATCTCACTCTGAGGGTTTCATCATTCCAAGTCCCGGGGCCTTTTTTTGCTTGTTTAATTGTTTTTTTTATAATTATTATTTGATCGATTTTTAATGATATTTTAATCTGTCTTATAGACCTGGATGAATGATCTTTTAGGGTAGTTGTCCGGATTCGACCTTAGATTTTCTTCTTATAACATTCTATACCATTTCCTCTAAATATCACTAAAATATAAATAAAGTATTAAAATAAAAGTTCTATGTTTTTATTTTTTATATAAGAGTTTATACTTTGATAATGTGACATTGTACATGTGCACTTTATTATTCTTTTTTAATAATGTACATGATTATTATTGGTAATGTAAATGTATTTTAACTCCTATCTCGGGAATAAAAACATAGAATTCTTATTTTGGTATATTTTCAATGTTTTATTTTTATTTTAGTTTTTTTCCCTTCTTTGAACTAAGAGAAAAAAATAAGAAAAATGTTAAAAGAGTAAAAGTGTGGTGTTTTAAATTGCTTTGAAGTGAGACATTGTATTTTTCTTCTTTAATCTAAGAAGGAAATGAAAGAAATTCCAAATTTATTTTGTACTCCGTAAGAGATTTGAAAGAAAAATGTACACATTTTTTTTCAAGGACTTTGGCAAAAAGAAAACCCTAAAGTATAATATCTTACATTTCCCACCCTTTTGTTTTCCCATGCTCCATGCTTGTAACATATCGTGAATTGAACTGTGAACATGTACGAAAAAAATTGTCTTTAACAATATTTTCTTTTTATGTGGATGTGAGAATGTGAAGACAAAAATCCTATAAAGGTATCAAAGATACAGGGTCATCATTAAATAAAGTTTAGCAGAAAATCCAAAAGTTGTGAATAAATTAGATTAAAACATACTCCGTAACAAAGAGAACAAAATATGATTTTCATGTTTTTTTAAAATTAAAACCTATATTTTGGCTAAAAGAAAACTTAATGATATTGAGGGAGAGATGATATTCTTAGTCGGAGTGCTCTCTTGCACATAAGGAGCAGTTATGTTTAATGTTAGTCTCGTGTACACTCAACTGCACGTTTAAACTTTGTTTCGTATACATTATATACTTTCCAATTTCTTCTCGAACATACATTATTTAACTTCTTCTGGTGTCCTTCAATTTATCTCGTTTATTTCAATTTTTCCCACTTTTTTCCACTTTTTCAAATTTTTTTAACTTGTTAAGTATTTTCCAACTTATTATTTTTTTCCAGTTTTTTCAATTTGTGTAACATCTAACTCTATTTTATTTTAGAAAAAGAACAAAGCCTTGGTTATTAGATGAAGGTCGAACTAGTGTTTTTTCTATCACAAACTAATTGTCTCACTACAACAAGAACAACATTAACCCAGTGTCTCAACGGCTCCCGTCCATTGTCTCACTAAAGTGGGATTGGATGTACGTAATTTGACCGTATGTTTGAAACATCGAGCGACTGTTTCCCATATGATCCATGGTAAGCATCGAAAGTCAAAAGTTGAATTGACTAACTATTTCTAGATTATAAATAAATTCAGTCCAATAACCTTGGTGTTTTTTTAAACATTAATAATTTTATTAACATGTAGTCGTCAATAATAAAAGAATTACCGGTAGTAAGTTGGAAAGAATGGATAATTTATTGATTTTTTACTTTGCTTTTTTGACAGGGGATTGGGTGGCACATCGGTAGTTACATTCCCAACATGGGGGCAAAACGGGTACGACAGGGCCTCAACGCACGCACAGTGGCGTGAGCTGTAATATGGATTTATATACGGTTTTAAATACGGCGAAGAATCGTTTTCAGATCCGAGAGGGTTTTCTGGTTTCCCATGGTTCTCCGACGCCTTGATTCCAGAAATGGCACTTTGAAATTCACACCCCGGATTGAGATATATTGAGATTCAGAGAGGAAAATCTCCCACTCGTTAGTGTTGAAGAATCCTAGTCCTCTGTCCAATTTCATCCGCACTCTGTTTCGCTTGGCTCATCAGGTAGATTTCCAGTCTTTAGTTTCTGGAAATGTGTTCGATCGGATGATGTTTCAGTGAAATTTTGCTTTTTTTGTGTTTTTTTACTCGATTGCTTGAATCCAGTGTGTTTGATTCGTTTATCCCCTTGTTTATGCGTAGATCTGAAGGGACTGAGGAGTGAGAGTGGTGGCCGTAGGCATTCTTCCCGGCTGTATATGATCGAAGAGGGTTTTCCTGTTCCAATCAGAATATGGTGGTTGTGGAGAAGATCTAAACCTCAAATTCCGGTTCTTGTGTTGATCTGATACTCACAGTTGTTTCTAGTTCTGTTTTCTCCAGTTGTTTGATTGATCGTGAAGTTTGGATAATTGATTTGGCTAGATCTTGGGGTTCCGGATAGAATCATAGTTGATTCAGTGATTTGATCAAAATGGAGACACTCGTTTTGGTTTCTGAGCACAGGAACGAGTACTATAATAACAGGTCCGCCGGAGCTGGCAGCCTTGGCTTTGGTCCGTTTGGCTCACCCCCTTCGGAAAGTTTCAGGGAGATAAATTGTAGGTCGTTCCATGCTGGATCAGGTATACTCCCGACACCGCTGCAGTCTTGCCCCACTCTGGTTTCTAAAAGAATTGGATCAACTTCTTCTACCTCTTCATTCAAGACGCCGTGTCCAACTGTAAAGTCTACCCATAACCAGAAAAATAGGATAAGGTCTGTTAGAAGTGTTTCAATACCAATTGAAAAAGTGAGCCGTCACTCTAGGATTTCCCATTCGTTGCAGGATGACATCCAGTTCTCAGAGAGATGGGCTGGTCCTACTTACTCAAACTCACCTCCTCCCAGTTCTTTACCAATCCCTAAATTCTCCGTGAAGCCTAAAAGATCTGTTTCACTTGACTTACAAGCATCAGTTTCTTCCATTCATTTTCGACCTGTTGCTCTGTCTGCACCTGCATCACCCACCAGGGAGTGGAGCCCATCTCCCGAAGATTTGTTTGATCAAGATGACTCTCACTTTGCGACGAAAACACTTAGTCGTATTCTCAATCTCGACATTACAGATGATTAGGACTCGTTGGGTGACTAGATCTCCTTATCATAAGGAGAGTACATCTAGTTTCCCAAGGGGTTAGCAATATATTGTGTGTTTGTGGTGAATAAAACCAGTTCCTACTGTGACTGCTTCTAGTTCGTTGTTTGGGCATAATAAATGGATGTGTAGAGCAAGGGCATGCCGCTTTCTGTTCCGGTACAAGTATTGCAAGGGCTTGAGTGGGTGGTTGATCAACTATTTTCATTGTTTTCTGTGCTAGTTACTCTGGATGGCTTCAATTTGGTTGGGTATCTGAGGAAGTGAATAGTAAAAAAAAGAATTTGAAGGTTACTGGTGGTACTTTGCTACTTCACAGCTTCTAGGTTGTATGATGCAGCTTAAAGGAGATTTCTGCAATCTGCAGAGTGCCAAATCCATAACCACACTCATCTTTACAATGTCTTCTCTAATTGCCTTCTCTTATATTCAGTCTTTCTTGTGTCTATAGTGTATATATACCCAAAATCCTGATCTCTAAATAGGTTTACTGCTTCTTTAGGATCGTCTTGTTAACCATATCTTTAGGTCTCCGTTCTTGATTGTCTTCTTTTACGCTTGTCTCGGTAAAATTTATTCTCTGTGGCTCATATGCTCCAACTGTATAGGATCTTTAGAGAACTGTTTGACTGCAACTTCTCATCCTTCATCATCTCTGTCTGTACTAGCTATTGGTCTTTTGCTTATATACAGTACTACTTGTTGAAGCTGCTTGCTCCTTCACCATGTTTCTGATTTTTTGAAAAGAAAATGGGAAGAGGAAGTTGGCTTCATCCACTCCTCATCTTTCCTGATCAAGTTCTTCATCCATCCAATGTCTATCCTTTTCTTTTGTTATTCGTATTCTGTTAAGCATTCCCAGTTCCTTTCCATCCCAACGTTTGGGAGCCATGTGATTGGAAGATAGTTGATTTGCCAAGATGTGTTCTCGAGGTGAGTGCACACGAATCATTCCTCTTCTCTTTCAATGTTCATATAATCATATCAATATATTGGCTGCTCTCTCCACTGATATGTGACTTGTCTCCTTTTTCATGTCACAGCTCTTGTAAGACGAACAAGTACAAACAAAAGAAGGTTGTGTTCTCGTGACCGCGTTTCAGAAACTGGCTGTGCTCTTGTTCCCGGAGGTGGTGTTCTTCTATTCCATTTCAAGTTGGTCTGATTTTGTGGTTTCATTTGCCTGTGTAATGTTCAGTGTCATGTTGCTGTCTTGTGTTTGAACTCTGAGTTGTTGTGCCCATGTTGCTTTTTTATTTTTTGTTGAGACTGAAGAAGTAAACAAATGGTTGATATTGTTTTTCATGGTAGCCCTATTTTTACATGTGAACATGTTTAATCCCCTTCCCCCCCCCCCCCCCTCCCCCCACATTTAGTTAAATTAAGCACAGTAAATGGTTAGTGCAGCCGTCTTTCTTGAAGAGATTAGGATGATATTTAGATTGATATGGTCTTGAAAATGATTGAGATTTTTGTGGACTAGTTACGACAGCGCGTTGAAAATTTGTACTCCATACTAGTTGCTAACATGTTATTTAATCCTTTTTGAATTTATATTATTTTATTGATTAATTTACCTTTACATTTAATTTTTTTTACTCATTTTTGTTTCTTAAATGATTAGATAGTATGATTATATCACCTAGTTTTGTAGATCTTTTAATATAATTTTTAAAAGTATAAATTTATGTTGAAAATAACTTCTGCCAACATTGTAAACAACATGCAAGTTAAAATGGGATGAATTGAGTATTAATTTGATTTCTATCATGGAGTATTTGTTAAAGTTAAATACTCCATTTACCCTGAAATACTTTGGTCTCAAATTAATATTTACAGTTATTATTATGGTATATCAGTAAACTTATGTTTGTATGTATGTTTTTAATTAATTTTTTATATATAAAATAAAATGTACTTTAGTTATTTCTAACTTTGTAAATTTTTTATGTAATTTATATTTTTTTTATTTAAATACCAATTAGTATAGATTGATTTCTGATACACGGAGAATTTGTGGTGTTTCCACTAGTAACCAATTGATAATCATCAAACCTTAGCTACCTCAACGGCCATACATACATATCTGTGTGGATGAAAATCCCATGAATCAAATGCTACAAATCAATGTGTGTGTACATGTATATATAGATAGATATACACACCCCATACATAAACAGTAATAATCATCATCATACAAAGTGACCCTTTCTGCATTTACAATACAATACACACAATGGCGGCAGCGCAGAAGGTTGTTGCGGCGTTCTTGGGGTGTCTGTTTGTCCTCTCCGCCATGCAGGGCGGCGTTCAAGTGGCGGAGGCGGCCGGCTCTCCGGTGTACCGAGAATGCTTTGACACGTGCCTCAACGATTGCATGAAAGGCGGCCGTGGTTACACCGATTGCGAGATGAAGTGTGACACCGAATGCGGCGCCAAGGAATTCAATGGTTCGTAATTCATCCAAAAATTTCACATTTAACAATTAAATACTATGAATCAAGTTTGTCTTTTTATTAGTATAATAGATTATTAAAATCCTACTATAATTATATCGGAGGGCTCCCTTGATATTAGATTTTCATAAAACTTATGTCTCAATCTCAATTGAGACTCTTACGATGTCTTATTCGTAGAATTGATGAATCTTACTTCGCCTCGCCTCCCATTAAAACCCCTATGCCGTCCCATGATTCGATCCCGCTCTCCCACTTCTTCAATTGCACCCTTCTAAATTTAGTTGACTTTGAAGTCATTTTTGTGTGATTTAAAATTGACTAAATTTGGAAGATGGAACTGAAAGGGTGGAAGATGAGGAGAAGGGCCGGAGGATGAGTTCGGGTTGGTATGGGGGGTTTATCGAAAGGATTCACAGTAAAAATTGTCAACTTTGCGAACGGGGTAAGGGCCCAATTGGTGCACATGTCATTGGTGTCCATAGTTATGTATCTTTAATTAAGAATAAGTGTTACGCTTAAGGGCTTGTTCTCTTCAATGTATCTGATTGATTCAGTTATGATTTGATCAAGTTTTAATCTGATTGTAATTATATTTATCTGATCTAATTCCAATAAAAATAAATACAACTTTCATTCTGGAATATTTGTCTAGTTTTGACTTTTTCAGTCAATCGTTTTCCATTTTTGACTTATAATTAATTAAAATATATATTGTATACTAATTAAATAAAATAATATTTTAAAAATATTTTATATAATAAATCTAATAAAACTATTTTTGTATCAATATCTAATTTCATTTTTATTTAATTTGGGGTCAAAGTTTATCAATTTTGACAAAAAAATCAAAAGTTTATCAATAATAGTAGTAGTAGTAGTAGTAGTAGTAATAATAATAATAATAATAATAATAATAATAATAACAATAATAATAATAATAATAATAATAATAATAATAATAATAATGGAGATTCTATGAACAAATATTATATTATACTTGTCTTATTAATGTTCAATTAAAATGATATGTCATTTTAATTTGTGTGCAGCCAAATTGAAAGCGGAGCCGGGCAATTAATTGACAAGGTGAAAAGAATGACGGAGTAAATGGAGTACTTTATTTTCAATGTAGTACGTAAGAGTAGTGACTATATATGGCACAATTTATTTTATCCAAATGTAATTGTCGGTGCTAATTAATTATTGATCCCATATACAGCTACAAACTGTAATTTAATTTCAATTCGTTGCTTATATTATACAACTGTAGCTTATATATGTTGGATATATTTTAAGAAAAATATGGCTCAAATATTTAGCTATCATCTTTTTTAGGACTCCGTATTAATTGCTCTAATCAAATTTTCGCTGTAGGGTTTGGAGTTAGATTAACATAATATATACTTTTCCTTCCTTCTCAAAAGCACTTCCTCTTTTAATTTTTTCACTTCCAACCAAACACTTCCACTTTCTATTAAAAAACCACTTTTACCCTTATTTTTTCATACCTTATCTATCACATCATACTTTTTCTCTAATAATCAATCCATCACATCTTACTTTTACTCATCACATCAGGGGCAAAATTGGAAATCAACTATAATTTTAGACTTCTTTATTTTGGCTCCAAGTCAAAGTAGGAAGCTTTTTGCAAACGGAGGGAGTATTAAAAAGTGAACATATATATATTTGGAATGGGACAACAATGACTATATATATTTCGTGATCGAATTCTAAATATATCTTCGTCACCTTATTTGATGTTTATGAAAATATAATGAATATGTTAGTAAAACATTTTAAGTTAGATCCTACTCCCTCCTTTCTTTATTGTTGTGTTCCAAATAGTTCTTTCATTTTCTATTAAAAAATCATGAGTAAAAGTTAAAGACCATAAAATATGATAGGGTAATTAATCTTTCAAGAATCGATTATGAAATACTCCATAGTTTTTAAAAATTGAAGACCATAATAAAAATAATACTCTGCAATAAAATACTCCCTCCATCCCGAAATGCATACTGCTGTCACTATTATGGTTTCTCGATTACTTTTGTTTGTATGTTTTCATTGATAATTTGATGAAATAAAATATTCTTGTCACTGTCTGTTTTGTAGAATTTTTATGTACTTTAAAAAAATGTAATTTATACTTTGTAATTTGACATTAAAATGATTTTAAAAATGATAAATTTGTACGTTATTTGGAAAGTGACATTCAATATAATTAAATTGCTTGTTTAACCAAAAAACAATATAATTGGAGTCCTTTATGAGGATCTTTGGCGCGGCTAAGGGACTAAATTGCTCCCTGTTTTAGAATTTGAATCATTCACTCTTTACTTTCAATATTTTTAAAAATTTCATGAATGTTGGACTAAATTTTCTGTACTTTTACTTATGATATACTAAAGAAATATTTACACTAAATAGCACTAAAACTTAAGTTATTTCCATAAATAGCATTTAAAGAGTTTTATTTCCTAAATATTACGGAGTACTTAATAATGTCTAAAAAGAGCAGTAATTACTTGAATATAATGACTAGTGGATAATGACTAAAAGTGCTAGATTGGAAAAAAATTATGTTTTAGTGCTATTTAAATAAATTTCATATACTAAATTTTATGTCCTTGTACTATCTATAAATTAATATTCAAATTAGTCCATGTATTTAAAATCCAATCAATTTAATTAGTTCTTGTATTATTTATTTTTGTTTAATTAGGTCCTTGTCTTCACTTGACTCTTATGTATTACCCAAAAATTTTAATGATGATGTCAAATTTTACTATAGATGATATGGAACTATTGTATTGGCATGTTCGCTCATACTTATTTAAAAAAATTTAAAAAATATCAGTTTTTTATTTATTCTATTTTATGAAAAAATTAGAGGTAAAATTATCTATTATATAATGACTAAATTTAGTTTAAATGTATGATTTATTATGTGAAACACTATTTTCATGTCATCTATAGTAAAATTTGTCGTCGTTAAAAATTTGGAACAATATATAAGATTCAAGTAAAGACAAGAACCTCATTGAACAAAAAAAATAAATACCAAAGTGACTAGACTGATTCAATTTTAGGTATAGGGACTAATTTGAATACTTTTTAGATAGTATAGGGATCTCTATGATATTTTGTCATACTTTCGTCTTTTAATCTCTTTTCATTATCTTTTTTGAATCATCCACAAATTTATTTCCCATTTCTAATTTTGACAAAGAACTTTTAATAAATTTGTCATTAGGTCCTCATTTTTATCTACATTATTCAATTTATTACATCACATCAAAGTTAATGTTGGAAGTTCTTACATTTTTTTTTCTTAGTGTTAATGCCAATTTAAAATAGAAAAAAAAATGTTGAGCGGAGGGAGTACTTGACCGGTAGTATCCACCAAAAATGTACACCAACTTATATAAAGGATATTTTTAACTGTCACATCAAAGATATTTTTGGTAACTAAACACAAAAGTATTACTTCCTTAATTCTATTAAAAGTCATAATAGAAAGAACTTTAAGGGAGGGAGTAAGTATGAAACCTTAATTAGGTATCTCTTATTAACACCATTTAGCTTAGGTACCTTGCTTGTATTGCTTTCCGTAGCATCATTTGGGGACATTGTACATGCATTATTATTTAGAATTATTTTTAAAGTATGCAAATAAAAATCTTAATTATCAGGACAATATTAACGCTAAAATCTAGTGTTAGATAACATTTTCAGGTTGATAAAAGTAAAACTAATGTGTGGAGCTAGAAGGCAATAATGATATAATATTGTTGCTTAAACAATATATCCATTTGACCTATTAACATGGCAAACATGACGCCTTAGGTGAAACACAAAGTTATGCCAAGAAATAATCTTCTTTTGCGGTCGTTCACGAAAATATTTATAAGAAATTAAAAGAATGAATATATGTTGGGGGACTATATAAAGAATGAATATCAAAGAGAATTAAAATTAAAACCAAAGAGAAAAATCAAGCAATTATAAACAAATAAGGAGAAAATCAAACTAAAAATGGCACAAAGTGACAAGAAGTTGGCGGCGGTGTTGGTTATTTGCATGGTGGTTGTGTGCGCCATCTCCGCCGTGCCGGCGGCGGAAGCCGATTCCGACTACAAACAGTGCACCGAGTCCTGCCAAAACGACTGCAAGAAAGAAGGAAACGGCGACACCATGTGCGAGGTCAAATGCGACACCAAATGTGGCGCCATGGAGGTCAAAGGTGCGTTTGGGTGTTCACATCAAATTCATTCAGAATCTAATATACTCGTTATTTAATAATGGGAAATTTATTTAAATAATACTCCCTCCGTTCTCAAAAACACTTTCTCTTTCATTTTTTTCACTTTCAACAAAACACTTCCACTTTTTATTAAAAAACCACTTTTATCCTTACTTTTTCATACCCTACCTATCACATCATACTTTATCTCTAATATTCTACCCATCACATCTTACTTTTACCCATCACATCAAAGGCAAAATTGGAAGTCAACTACAATTTAATACTTTCTTATTTTTACACAAAGTCAAAAGAGGAACACTTTTTCCAAACTGAGGGAGTACTAAAACATAATAATTTCCTTAAATAGCATTACATATGTTTTTTTCCAATATAGCACTTTTAGTCATTACCCATTAGTCATTATTCAAGTAAATATTTGTCATTACTGGACATTATTAAGTTTTATTTAGAAAATAAAACAATTTAAGTGTTATCTAAGGAAATGATTTAAGTTTTAGTGCTATTTAGTGCAAATATTTCTTTAATAATTTTAAAAAAAAATTATTGTGAAATGGAGATAATACTTCCTTCGTTCAAAAAAAAAATCAATTTCAACTTTTAGAAAATTTAAGTGAGATATATTTTTGTGAATTTTTCACACATATATATTTGATGTGATAAGTAAAAGTAAGATCTGATATATAGATATTAGTCAAAATATATGATGTGATAGCTAGATTAAACATTAGTAGGGGTAAAATTTGTTTTTTAATAAAAATGAGAAGGATTTTGTGGGACAGGTAAAAAAGAAAGAGAAACGAGATTTTGGGACGGTATATAATTAAATCCGAAAGGAGAAATTAACAGAGTATTTTTCTGAAGATAACTGTGTCTATAAAAATGTGACCGAGAATGAAATTAATATACTCCATCCGTCCAACAATAATATTCACGTTCACTATTTATAAGGTCAAACTTTAATCACTTGTTGGTGTATTTCCTTTGCCCATTTGGTAAAATAATATAGTCATGTGAACTCTAGTTTTGTTTATATAAATCTTTTCATATAGTTTTTAAATATGTAATTTTTTTAATTCCATACGTTTTATTGTTGGACATAGAATTTAGTGGAATGAGAGAATTTTCAAGCCATTTGGAGGTCACATGTTTAATCCTGGAGACAATAATTTTACATACTTAATGACTTGAGAAAGTATGAACTCAGAGCTATTAATTTATTATAATCAAATTATTAGTGTTAAAAAAATTAAAATAAGTGGATGCAATTTAGTATGGAGAATTCAGATTGGTAACAAACATTTCTAACCATTGAGTATATTACATACTCTGATCCGAAACTGATTGCTTTAATTTAATTTGTTGGTGCAGACAAGTTCAACAATCTTTTTTGAGTAGCTTGAATTGATAGAGGAAGCTAAGGATGGAGCACATACAAGGGCCCACTGCACACATATTTTTATTTATCAAAAATAAATTTTAGAGGACGACTAATAAAGATAATAGAAATATAGCCATGTAGATTAATATTAGGGATGGTTGAATAATTGTACGTACTACTCCATACATATATATGTCATTAATTATAATAATTATCATTGCAATTTAAATTATCTCTCTGTGTATATTTCAGATATTCAGTTTACCACATATCCTTCTTGTCCCAGTCCAATGGTAATGAAGATTAATGTTGCAATTACTTGTATAAATAGTAAGTTGGTTGTAGTCTTCGTTTTATTATAGAAATATCTGCATTAAATAGCATTAAAACTTAAGTAATTTCCCTAAATAAAAATTAAATTATTTTATTCCCTAAATAGCAATTAATAATGTTCATAATGTCTAGTGATGACAAACTTTTACTTGAATAATGACTAATGTATAATAACTAAAAATGTTACATTGGAAAAAAACACATATAATGCTATTTAGAAAAAGTCATCATGTTTTAGTACCATACGTAAATTCCCGTTTATTATATACTCTCTCTCCAAAGTATCATTTCGATTTTTTTTCTCTTAACAAATTAGACAAACTTTAATCATAAATTATACTACCTCCGTCCCAAAAAGATTTACATGTTTTGACTAAAATTGAAATTAAGGGAGGGATAATTTTGTGTTGACTTTCCAAAAATACCCTTGATGTGATGGGTAAAAGTAGGATATGATGTATAGATTATTAAGAAAAAGGTATGATGTGATAGGTAGGGTTTGAAAAAGTAAGGGGTAAAAGTAGGTTTTTAATTGAAATGAGTAGGAGATTGTGGGACGTAGTATTTTTAAAAGGTGTAAATCTTTTTGAGACGGAGGGAGTATGATTTATTGTCTTGGTTTTTTCTTGTACTAACTTCAAATCATAAATTATACTCCGTATGATTTATTGTCCAATACGTTTTGACTTCTTACAATCAAAATTGAAAAAATTAAATCATTAATTAAATAGAAATTATATTACTATTAGATAATGATGCAAGAATAATTTTATTACATTCATCTTTAACAATGTTTCAAAAAATTGTATTATCTAATTAATATACTCCGTAACAAGTAACTTTTATTTAATTTTAGGTCAAACTAAAGATTGATTCTACTAGTTCATAAAAAATCAAAATTAGACAAATATTTTTAAACGAAAGAGCATATATGTTAATACGATGAAACAAAGTTTTTAACTTTGTTTACAAGATAAATTAAATGTAATAAAGTTATTTTTATATTTCTTATTCAATTTATAATCAAGATTTGAATTAGACAAATAGTCTCCCACATAGAAAGTATATATTGAGACATAGGAAAACAATTAATTACTCGCTCCGTCCCCGTTGTGATTATAATTTTTTTCTAGCCCTTTCCTCGATAACTTTTGTTTATTTACGCGATTTCATTAAGTATTTAATAAAACAAAAGTATTCTTATCACATTTTGTTTTGGAAAAATTTTGACATAGTTTTTTAAGATATAATTTCTATTTCTTACTGATATACCAATTTATAAATAAAATGATTACAAATAAAAGCTAAGACACATGGAGTATGTTTGTACAATGTATATTGAATAAATTAAGCTCAGGTTGGTACATGGAATTAGAATTGGGAATAATAATTCCAACTTTGCTGTTGGTAGCACAAAATATGTGAATTTGGAATTGGTAGACAAGATAATGCCAAAAATGAATTGAAATTCAAGAATTCAGTTCCATCTAAATTAATTTCATAAAATTTCGATTTCGAATTCAATTTTAATTTCATGAATTTTGTGTACCCAAACAGACCCATGTATAGCAAATAGCTCGAGTGCCCAGTTTAGAAATAGGCACTTATACTATGGCACTATTTTGGAAAGAATACACATCTATCTCTAGAACTATTTTTTCTATTTCGTAGTACCGAAAATTTTAACTTTTTCAAATCAAATTTGTTCAGTTTTACTTTTTACAAGATAAATTGTACTCCCTCCGTCCCACAAAAAAGTTCTCATTTTGAATAGTATTTAGTCAAATATTTACACGCTTTGACTACAAATGGTGAGAAAAGTATATTGAATTATGAAATAAATTTTATATAATTGGATTCATCTTAGGATCTAGTTTTGATATCTCCAATTTTTTTAGCATTTTTTATTTAGATTATATTTAATTTATGGTTAAAGTGTGCAACAGTTTAACCAATTTATAGTTAAAATGGAAACTTTTTTATGGGACGGATATAGTATGTGATTATGGATTTGTGGCCCATTTTTAAATAGTCTAACAAATGACACAAAAAATTAGTGTGACCCCAACCACCTTTTTTTGAAAACCAACCACACTAATTTTTGTAAAAATGATTATTGTCGAAGTTTCAGGAGATTTCATAATGTCTTTCTAGAAATAAATATGACCATATATTATTATTTACTCAATGTAGGACCATTGATCATTATCCAGTAATGATTATCCAGGTAAATATCTACCATTACTGAACATTATTTCTTTCACTAGACATTATTAAGTGATATTTAGGAAATAAAAAAAAATTAAGTCTTACATTGAAAAATGACTTATGTATTAGTACTATTCAGTGCAAATTTCACTATAATAATAAAAAGAGGAATTTACTTGAATAGCACTAAAACATAATGACTTTCTCTAAATAGCACAACATGTGTTTTTCTTCTCAATGTAGTACTTTTAGTCATTATGCATTAGTCATTAATCAAATAAATATTTGTCATCACTGGACATTATGGAGATTATTAAGTGCTATTTAAGGAATAAAACAATTTAAATGCTATTTACGAAAATAACTTAAGTTTTAGTGCTAGTTAGTACAAATATTTCTAATAAAAATGAAATAATTCTCGATAGTTAGTACAAATATTTCTAATAAAAATGAAATAATTTCTCGGTATGAGGATAATATGCATGGCGGGAATGTACGTACATGTTACGCGGCGAGCACTCTCTGAATCATCAAACACGTATCCTTAAACCTTCGACACATGTCTCTCCCATGCATGCAATTCAATCCCATTCCAGCCCCTTCCAAACAACCCCACAGACTCTCCTTTCTCTTTCTATGTGTGTATATATACCCCACCCCCACTTACGCTCACCCATCTCTCACACACTACAATCCTCGTCACCATCACAAGTCATATAACAATGGGAAGAAAAACATCCCCGTCACTTGCTCTCATCACCATCGCCGTCTTTCTTGTTTCGGCCGCCGCGGCGGCGGCCAGAGACCCCGAGCTAGAGATATGCCGCCAGCAGTGCAAAATCCAGACCGCGTTCGACAAGGGCCAGAGGGAATCGTGCTACACCAAGTGCGAGCTGTACAGCCGGGAGAAAGCTAGGCGGGAGCAGGAGGAGGAGGAGGAGGAAGGCCGCCGGAGTTCCGAGGAACGGGAGGACGACAGTCCCTTCGTCTTCCGGCCTCGTCACTTCCTCACCGCTCACTCCTCCGAACGCGGCCGCCTCTCGGTCCTTCAGAGGTTTTCCGAGCGCTCGTCGGATATCTTCCAAGTCATCGAGCCTTTCCGGCTCGGTGTTTTGGAAGTAGAACCCAAAACTTTCGCCATTCCCAACCACCTCGATGCCGACTTGCTCTGTGTTGTTGCCAGTGGTAACTAGCTAGCTAGATAGCTATATATACCTTCTTACCTTTTTAAAATTTTTATGTTTCTTTTCAACTTCCTCATCAAGTGTTAACCTTATGTATATGTTTGATGTGTAGGGAAGGGAATTGTGAACATGATTGAGGAGAACAAGAGGGTGAACTTTAACATCACTGAGGGTGAGATGGTCGTGATCCCGGCCGGTGCCACTACATACCTAATCAACCCCGAGGACGATCGGAAGCTCGTCGTGGTCAAGCTGATCCGAACCATTTCCGCGCAGCCGGGTCGCTTCGAGGTGATCTTGCATGCATGCATGCACTTACGTTATGGATCATGCTAGGAACTTACCATGATCGCCCACACACAGAGATGATTTTATACATACAAAGACGATAATCATCTGTACTCACAGGTCATCATCGTTTGTGTATGTATAAATCATCTCAGAGTGGGTTCCTAGCAATTTGCTTACGTTATTGCTACAATATGTATTCGTTCTGTCATACTTATTTGGTTGATTTGATAAATTGCAGTACTTCTTTGGGTCAATGGTGATGAATGCCTTCAGCTCGAGCATAAGGGAGGCTGCGTATAGTGACGCAGACCGGGAGACATTGGAAAAGGTCCTGAACAGATCAGGGAGGAAACAGGACCCTTTCCTCGCGATATCTAACGAACAGATCGAGTCAATTATTCGACGACAAGAAGACGAGGACGGTATCGGCTGGCCTTTCGTTGCCGATAAATCTTCCAAGAGAAGAAGAATTGTTGATATCTTGGAACACAAGAGCATCTCCAACAAATTTGGTGAACTCTATGAAGTTGGTAATGAGGAATTTGATGACGTCCAAATTTCTTTTGCCAACATTACTAAAGTACGTTCTTTTAGTCTCAAAATAACTTTTACTTTGTTTTTTTTAGACGTCTCAAAAATTAAAAATTCACACTTTTCACAATGTACCCCAATTATTAGGGTGGAATGCTAGGCCCTCTCTTCAACACAAGAGGTACAAAGCTAATGTTTGTGGTGGAGGGAGAGGGATGGATGGAGATGGCCACGGCCGACGAATCAAGGCGGTCCCCACGCCGCGGCAGTTCGTCGGAGAGAGGCCCGAGCTTCGAGGGGGTACGAGCCCGTCTTTTCCCGGGGACGGTGGTGATAACCCCGGCAGGGCATCCGTACGCTAACGTGGCAAGCAGAGCACGAAACCTGAAGCTCCTCTGCTTCCACGTCAACGCCCGGAACAACGAGAAAGTCGCCCTCGCCGGAAAGGACAACGTCTTCACCAGGCTGGATAGGGTAGCGGAGGAGATCGCATTCGGCGGCAGCCGGAAGGAGGTGGAGCAGGTCTTCGGAAGCAACAGCGATTACCAGCTGTTCTTCAAGGGGCCGAGCAGGGAGCCGGAGGAAGACGGCGGTCACGCGGCGGTGTAGAGTGAACTTGTTCTTCGTAGTGCATGCATGGGCCTGCATGCAGGTGTAATCGTGTTTAATTTTAAAAAAAATGAAAATGATGAATAAGGTGAGTTTGTGTTTGTGTGAAGAGATGATGTAAATAAGTCGAAGGATGTTTTGTAATGATAATAATAATCCCCGATGCATTTATGAATTTTGTTGCTTTGATTTGGTCCCATTTCAAGCTTTTTGATAACTTTTTTTACAACTCCACTTTCATGAAAACCTTTCCACTGCCCTTTTTTTGAGTACCATAGTCCCTTTATTTGAATACCATAATCGTGAGTGGAACAAACACGCACTAAAATATAATGATTTTCCCTACTTTTAGTCATTATCCAATAATCATTATTTAAGTAAACATTTTTCATAATTGGACATTATGGATATTATTAAATTAAATGCTATTTAGGAAAAAATAATTTAAGTGTTATATAGAAAAATGACTTAAGTTTTAGTGCTATTTAGTACAAATATTTCTAATCTTAATCTCTTTCCAATTAAAAAATATTTTTATGAATTATTTAAGAAAATTAACTAGAAAGGGTATTTCTTTAAATTTGCTAAAATAAATAAGGAATTCATGGGAGATAAATAGTACTTTTTGTTTCTTAAAACACTTATTCTTTTTATATCCAATACAGAGTATAAAGTGTATGTAATTAATAATCAAAATTTATAATTTTGAAAATTAAAAATTAGAATTAAACAAACTAGTATAAAGTCTTTAAATAGTGTGACACTTGAATAAGTGTTTTATAAAGTTTGGGACTTTAAATTTTACCGAAGTAAAAAAAGGGAATCATCGTGTCAACTGAATCATTAAATCCACTTTTTGGTTTAATTTCGACTCTTTGTAGTTTTTAACGAGGATTAACAAGATTAATGGAGAACCATTGAAAAGGATTAATAGGAGTAGTTAGTATTTTAAAATCATTCATATTTTGACTTTGGGTCAACATAAAGAAAATGTAATTTTGGTTGACTTTTAAATTTTACCCTTGATGTGATAGGTAAAAATAAGATGTAATAGTTTGTTTATTAGTGAAAAAGTATAATGTGAGAGGTAGGGTATGAAAAATTGAGGGTAAAAGTAGTTTTTAAATAGAAAAAGAAATAGTTTAGTGAATTGAAAAAAAATAAAAGATGAATAGTTTTAAGGAACGGAGAGAGTAATAACAAGATTAATGGAGAACCATTAAAAAGGATTTAGGAGATCTATGAGGGACAGAAAAAGTATTATTTACCCTACCTCTCCATATCAAATTTGATGTTTTTTCCCAATGACGGTAGTTTTTTACGATTATTATTTTATCCTGAGTAATAATTGCACCTCTTACTTGGGGTTATGTTTCATTATATTCACTTTTGTTTACCGTTTAGCAAACGAAGTAGTCCATGCCCTCGCGGAGGCTGTTCGCCTAGGTTGCACTGGGACGGGTGCGGGTACATATACGGGGACGGAGACGGATTCGGGAATCAGCATTTTTTAAAATTTAAGGATGCGGGGACGGCAAGGATTCGGCAACAAAAGATAATTAAAATATTAAATATAGGCATGTAAATGTTAAAAATAATATTCTACTTAATTAAAATGGGTAAGAAGTCTAAGAACCCAAACATTTACCGTGGGTAAGAACCCAATTTTTTAAATTCTCTATACTAATACACTCCGTAGCACTGTAGCAGAAAAAAATTGGGTTGAAACATTCTGGACCACATAGTTGTCTCCAACAAAAGTACAAAACAATTGCAAAGGGAAGGATCGGCGGATGCGGATGGGCAGATCGGCGGATCTGTTCGGAAGGTACAGATCAGTTCCATCTGCTCTGGATCTGTTCCGTCTGCTTCCGGAGCGGAGGCCGGCAGGATCCGTCTCAGAATTCTCGGATCTGTTCCTATTGAATACGCCGACGATTCCGAAGCTTTAGATGCGAATCCGGTTCGCCGGTCGCCGTCCCCGCCGGCGATTCCGTCCCTGCGTCGCTTCCGGAGCGGGAGGCGGCACCAAACTGCCGAACCCGTGCAACCTAGCTGTTCGCTCCCCTCTGAACATGGGGTTCTAGCTCAATTGTCCCCGCACTTTGTAACGCAATTTATTAGTGATGATTACTACTCTCTTTGGTTGTCCTAAAAAAATAGTGACACACAATTTTTTTTACATAGTAGTAGAACATACAACACGTTACTATTTTAACTTTATTTTAATTAGAAAGATGAAAAATTAATCACTTTAATAAAAGAAAAAATAATTAGAAGTCAAATAAAATATTTTTAAATAAAATATAAGGCTCCGTATTTTTCTAGTGTCATTAACTCATTAATGACAAGTTAGCCTAGTGGTTTTGAGCCAAGAAAAATGTATAGTGGTTCATATCAATTTTACTCGCCTTCAATTATTACCATATATAGGAATAAAAACTTTTTTATTAATTTTAATCTAAAAATCTCTTTTAAAAAATACACATCTCAAGTGTCTCAAGTCATTTTATAAGGAGATCAGACACGCATAAGGGTATGGTGGAGTTGAGCGTTTTAAGGCTTGAATGGGGGATAGAGCTGGCAAATCGGTCGGTCAGGTCGGGCTCAGGTTCGGTCACTTCAAATTCGGGTTATTTCGGATTCGGGTTGAGAACTTTATGTTCAAAACTCAGTGTTTTCAGGTCGGGTTTCGGGTCAAAAACAGGTCGGGTCACTTTTTGGCATGTCTAATGGGGGATATATATGACGCCCCATTACGCAAGGCCTTAGCGCACCATATATATATATAGATTTTACCATTCAAAAAATACGTAACATCAAAATTTTCTTAAAAATGAATAATTTTTACGGAGTAATATTTTTTTTATAAAATTTTGTAAAATCGGATACATATTGAATGATTACATCATAAATCGTGGAATTGTAGAAGTCATCCATCCAATCTCTTGATCGAAATTTTCTAGCTATTAAATACTACTATCTTCATTTGGCACATGTTTGCTTGAATTGATTTCTTGTGGTTTTTAAACAGTAGAAAAAAGTGAAAGTTTCGTACATAAATGTGGTAAAATATAAGGGGAGTGAGATATAATAAATAAAGAAAATGGTGATAATAGTCGTACTTAAAATGTTAAAAATCATAATATAAACTTTTTTGCGAACAAACAAAAAGAATATTTGAAAAAAATTATGGCGGAATCCAAAAAAGAGAGGAGAATTTCACCGGGCCTAAGTAATTATAATATCTATGGATTGATAGCTAAGTTCCTTCGTCACGAGTTTTAATGGGCCAGGCTGAACCCCACAACACCAAGTGTGACGGTAAGTGAATACGATCCATAACTGACCTCTCAATTTTGGCCCATTATTTGATGCGACGCCGTACTTAGCATATTTGTAAAGAATCGTACGAATGTACCTGTTCAAAATAAAAAATAAAGAGATGAAAAATACTACCTCCGTTCCAGAGTATTATTCCAGTTTGACTTTTTTGAGTCAAACTGGACAAATTTTGAACTCCAATTACTTTCAATTTGTATTACATATTAGCATAATGAAATACTCCATATAATTTTAAAAGTTCTCAATACAATAATCCAATAAAGTCATTTTTATACTCCCTCCGTTCCATTAAACCCTTCCACTTTTGACTTTTGGCAAAAATAAGGAAAGTGTAATTTTGGTTGACTTTCCAATTTTGTCCCTGATGTGATGGGTAAAAGTAAGATGTGATAGTTTGGTTATTAAAGAAAAAGTATGATGTGATAGGTAGGGTATGAAAAAGTAAGGGTAAAGTGGTTTTTTAATAGAAAGTGGAAGTGTTTTAGGGAATTCAAAAAAAACGAAAGAAGAAGGGTTTTGTGGAACGGATGGAGTATTAAAATACTTTACGGTTTTTATTTAATTGAAGCTCAAAGTTTGTCCAGTTTGACTTGAAAAAGTCAAACTAGATAAATATTCTAGGACGGAGGGAGTAAGTTAGAATCGTATTAAGCGCTCCGGCCCGGTTTAGTCTGTCCCGACGCGACAATTGCTCTTGCCATTGTCTTCTCGTCTCAAGTATTTTTTATTATGGATTATGATACTTGATTGAATTTAGTTTGTAATTTACATGTATGAAAATGGTATCAACTATTAAAATAAATTTATATACTCCCTCCGTCCCAATTTATTTGCAACACTTCGAACGACGTGCAAAATATCATCTCTTTTAAAATCACTTTAATTTCAAATTGGTAGAGTAATAACAAGTAAAAATTACACCATTTAAAAGTATATGAAAACTTCTACAAAACAAGATGCGACACGAATATTTTATTTTATCAAATGGTCAACCAAAACGAGTAAACAAACAAAAGTTATCGAAAGACCAGAATAGTAAACGTGGCATTCTTTCTGGGACGGAGGGAGTAATTCATATTAAAAATTACACTCAATGGAAGAAGAATATGGGAAAATATGAGGATTTGATTACCGTTATAATAAAAATTAAGGTGATCCAAGTTATTCATTGTGCTTTATTTGTATATTTGGAGCTCAATCTTTTTTCCATAAAAGGATTGGACCATGCTAGGGTGCCACCACATGGGTGCTACCATGGGTACACCCATGCTTTGCACAGACAAACACAGACGATAATTGTCTGTGCGACACAGATAATTATCGTCTGTGTTTGTCTGTGCGAAGCATGAGTGCACTCATGGTAGCACCCATGTGGTGGCACCTTAGCATTTTCATACATTGGTTCACTTTCCTAGGGAAGTGAACTATCAAATATGTATAACCCATATTACGTAGTTTTAAAGATTTTTATTTTCACATAGATCCATCATTTGAATAATAATAATAAGATGAGCTCGATATATTGAACTTGGATCGTTATATATGGTCACAATATACTCATCAATAATGTTAGAGTCTATCCAATATCATAAAATTAAAAAAGAAAAAGTAATAGGTTTATAAGTTCTTGAATTGAATTGGTAATGAATTGAATCTAGTTTTTTAATATGATTCAGCTCAATTGCCTTATAATCCAGTCTCGTGATTTCTATCCCATTCAAAATTTTATCACCAAAACATTGAAAAGAATATAATACGTTTATAAGCTCTGGAGCTAAACTGTTTATTCAATTGAATTTAATTTTTTTTATCTTTGTTCATTCCAAATGTATTATGACCCAATCTAGTGATTTCTAATCTATCTAAAATTTTATCAAATAATCGTGCTAAAAAACAATAAAGAGTATTTTTTAAAAAAATTACCGAGAATTAATATTATTTCCGGAGGGGACACGAGATATTCAGATAATTGGACTTTGTAAAAATGAATTGGCTTACCAGTTACCAGCGGTGCACAATAAATTACTCTTTATTTTTAAAGAAAAAAAAAGAAGCTATTTGGAATTGAATAATAATGTTAAGTGATAGAAAATGTAACGAGAGTTTGACTAATTCTTTATAGTAGCATGCTTCCCACTCGTGTACTTGCCGGACGTACTTACGGAGTATAATACATTAATTTCTGATGGTTCAAGAAAGTCAATCACATTTGGAAAAATTGCTTACTACTTCTCTCACATTTTAATTTTTTGGATTAAATTCTACAACATTTTGATTCCAAATTATAGAAAATGTATATGTAATTATAATGTAATTTTAGTAAAATTGGGTTCATTTTAAAATATACTCCCTCCTTCCCAAAAAGAATGTTACGTTTCATTTTTTGCGCATCCCTTAAAACACTTTTATATCGTCTCAAATGCCAAAAAAACTTTCAAAACAATTTCATCTTATAATAAAGAGTAAATATGGTAAATTTTAGAATTTTTAGATGTGAGTAGCCATGCTTTTTGTGATGCGCAAAAAAATGAAATGTAACATTCTTTTTGGGACGAAAGGAGTAGTTATTGTGTATCAATTTTTTATTTTTTTAAATTATGTTTAATTTGTAGTCAAAATGTTACACAATTTTACTAAACAACTCTAACCATAGTAATCTCGTAGAGATGAATGAAGTACTAGCGGGTAATTTTGGCATACATCATCTCATTATTATTGAAAAGTAAAATTATATAATGGGGATTGTATAAAATTATTATTAGTAATTTGTATACAATGTAAATTTAAATAAAAAGTGGGACTCGTCAGTCAAAAAATTCTACATCGGAATTAAATAAAAATGTTTGGTGTACACCAAGGGTTGCATCAAATATAGACCACCCTACGTTATTTTTATGTTTTAGAGATACGATTTATTTGTGTGTCACAAAAAAAAAAGAAAAATATATTTGTAAAATACAAAAAAAAAAAGGTTCAAGAAGAAATTTAAATAGATGGTACTGAAAAGGGTGAATATTGTGCAGTGGACAAGGAAACCAAAATGACAGCCCTCCCAACCCCCCCTCTAAACACGGCTCTTTGTCTCCTCTTTTCAATTTGGACTTTCCTAGGCGCCTCCAACAGTAACCTCAAGGCTGTTTTCATTTTTTAGAAGGAGAAGAAAAAAAGACTAACATGCTTTCTTTACCTAATTTCTATGCTTCTAATTTAATTAGAATAAATCTTGATCTAATCTAAATATAGTTATATTTAAAGTTATTTCTGATTTGGTCTGCTCTGATTTCAATAAATAAATTAAGTTATAATCTCACTACTACTCATTCAATTAATGGTTCATTTGAATTTTAATTTATTCTTCACTTTTTTATCTATGATGCAACCCGTTTATGAATTTTAACAGAAAATAATGGAAATAAAAACATACTACCTCTCTTCTAAATTAATTTTTTTTATTGCAAATTATGATGGTTGATTTAGTTCATTTTTAAAAATTTGTTTAAATATTGATATAGAATTTTGAAATATATGAATTTATTTAGATTAGTTAGAGATGTGGCTCATGACTTTGGAGTAACTCACATTGAATGCACAATATTCTTTAAATTTAATATCCAACTGGAGTTCAATTTATAACAGTCAAATGGATTCATTTTTTTCAATTGGGGTTTAATGTTTGAAGCAATTTGTACCCAAAAATGTGAGGCAATAAATGAGTTAGTTTTAAACTCTTTTTTTTTTGATATTTTAATGCTCTCTATTTTCTTTGGGAGAAACTAAGGTTTGAAAGTTAAATGTCACATGCTCCCATCCCTTCACCAAAAATTATTTGTCCACATTGTACAAGAACTCTCATTCTCAAAAAGTGAGTTTTAAATGTCAAAAATGCCCATCAATCAATTTGTTAATTAGTCATTCATGCCAACCAAGCTCATATTAAATTATCTAAAATATTTTAGATCATTCATCCTAATTTGGATGTTGAATATAGAGATTGGATAACTAATTCTGAACAAATTAAAAATAAATATCTTTACATTTATGTTAGCTTATAGGCTTAGCAAATTTGTAAGAAAATATAATGGAACTTACCAAATGTTTCACTCTCACATTTGGATATCTGTTTTCCAAATCTATCTTAAAATTAGAAAAAAAAAAAGAAACAGTAAAAAATGGTATGTGTATACAATGAAAATCTATACTGTCACTCTTTTGGTACAGATTTACTGCAGGCTTGTTGTGTTGAATGAATGTTGCCGACAGTAAAAAGGGCATATTGGTCAGCAAATAGTGGAACATCAAAGATTGTAACACCCTGCAGGTTCAATCCTGTAGTAAACATACACGAAAATGCAAGAAGCAAATGAGCAAGACTAAAACATGATCATTAGAAAGACAAAAATAACCCCGAAAGAGAATGGGATTTTACCTTTTTATCTGTGCTGCAGAGGTGACACTAACCCATCATCCACAATCTTGGCTCAAAATCTGCAGAATAAACATCAAGGTAAAAAAAACAATCTTGGAAATTCCAAATGCTGTAAAATGGTAAATCTCAGAAACATTGTATAAATGAATGTATTTGTATAGATTTACCAAGCTTGGAGAGAGGCATGACTTTACCCACTCAACCCAAAAGTCGTAAGCTCAGGAAAGGTTTTATACTACTGTCGTAAAACAGTACACATTGTTCTCTTAGTAGTAATTCCACCCGACGTATCCGTGCGAATAAGGCAATAGCTCTTCGACCTCAATCCTCCTCGAGCTCGAGTAGCTCAAACTTTTCCTCAACCAGTTGTGGTTAATAGACTCAACCTCGGCCAAGAATATGCCATAAACCGGTCTATGATCCGAGAACCGGGACTCTGCCCGAACATATGACACTTGATGGAGGCCTCGACCGCACCATAGTATACGATCACACCTTCACCAAACACAAGCATTTGAAAGAAAGCATAATGTTACAAGATCTAGAGTTGGATTAGATAATCGACTGAGTATATATATATAAGAACATGAGTTATTACTCCTTCCATTATCAATTGGTTTTTGGCTTGGAGTATCATATTTCATACCATGCGGGAGTCCTTCGTTTCTCTTTCTGGTGTGCATCTTCACCCGCGTAACGGTCTGAATTACTCGAGTACTTATAAGTCGGGGGGAAATATATTTTTCCTTCGTTCCATCCGGTAAAAACGCGCCCTTTTCTCTGTTCTATGCGAAGCTGTTATAACAACAAGCAAAAAAAAAGACAACAACCAACTCAACATTGGTTCAAGAAAAGGAATTTGAAAAAATTGAAAAACGTAATGCCCGACGTGCCTGGTCGTTCTCTAACAGCACTTTCCAATTTCGCATCTCCACTAACGCTTTCGCAGTTCGGTAAGAGAGGGCAATTCGGTAATTCAAATCCCCGAGCCATATGATTCGACTTCACACATGCAGAGTAGCAAATGTAACCATTAGTGTCCAAAAGATAGACCCGTTTTCTAAAAAAATATAAAAACAAAAACGAAAGGGCATTACTCGTGCTCTAGGATTGTTTGGGGAGAACTCTCGTCGCCATGGACTCGGGGAAACCTCGTTTTCTTAAGAATCTCCAAAACGTCGGAGTTCCTTCTTAGCTCGTCCCCGTCCTTTTGGCCAGAAGTTAAATGGCTACAAACAAAGCAGAAGCTTGTTTGGTGCAAAGACATGCTAATTGATATTGAACCCTGAAAACAAAAACACAATGTGGCTAGAGATCAATGCTTATTATTCGAATAATAGTTTCAAGAATTTCTTTTTTTGTGTAAACCAAACACACCTTGTTCCCAAGATATCCCATCAATCCTCTCCCAACACAGGAGACCTTCAGGTTCGAAACCTCGTCTCTCAGGCAAGATTTTATCCAGACCGTGAGAAAAATCCCGACCATCTGTTTGCTCGCGACCAAACAGTACTTAGACTGGGCCCCATCCTCCATGGAAACAGACCCGTTATACGAGTGCGGAGAATACAGACCGGTCGGAGAATCGCCCGGTCCGTTTTCCTCGTCCGAGGAACCGCCCCAGTTCTCGTCGTAATTGCTGCGCATTTTCCCGTACACGACCCGGTCGCACACGCTGAACCGGCGCTCGAACCGGGGCTCGGGGATCGAAGAAGGGGTGAGGGAATGGAACGAGCGCCGATGGAAGAGGGACGACGTCGTTTTGTGGGTGGACCCCTCGAAGTCAACATCTTGCTCCACGACCGGATTTCTAAACGGAGACGGCGTGCGGTAACCGCTACAGCTCGTGCCGGGAAGGTTGTTTAGCGTTTTTCTAATAAGGGATAGCCATTTTCTGGCAGGTCCGTTATCTTCTGTCCCCAATACATTACCCGCATTTAGTGGAACAATTTCTTGAAACCTACACATTACAACGACAACAAATCCAGTAAAATCCCACGAAAGTAGGGTCCGGGGACCCCGAAACCGAGAATTTGGTTGTTCTAATTAATTAACTCACCCTAAGACATAAATGTCGGCCGGAGTTGATGTATGGAGCCAATCCTCAAGGCTTAGATTGCTAGGTGGGGATTTCCCGGCCACGTTCCACGTAGCCACGAATAGCCTGGATCGATATAAACACGCACGTGTATACATTTTGTAAGGACTCTGATACCATATTAAGGCCGAGAAAAAGGAGTATGTCAAAGATGTTAAAAGGATTGACCATGTTATAGACCATGAGACATGATTCGTCATCAATGGCGTCAAACTATGGTGTTAAGGTAACGTTTTTTTATAGAGATATACCTATAGTTATTCACATTTGTAACCTCAGAAGTGTCGAGGTCGATCTTAGGTTGTTGGGGAACACGATCAACGCTGCTGCGCCTACCGATGGATTCTGTTGGTTCAATAAGATTCAAGACAACATTGAGCATTACAATCAAGAAAAAAGAAGAGGGCAGATTCTTTGCTTTAGCCTTTAGTTGTTCAAATACTTTTGCTTCTCTGGTACTGAACCTGTTTTGCTGTTTTTTGTAATAGTGAATGTTTCATTTGCAGCAAAATTGTTCCTCAATTCATCATCAACACCTGACATAAAGCAAAGTCACAAGGCAGTGTCATTTCCTGTTAAAGATTTGAAACCCCAACTTTTTTTTAATAAAATAAAATTAATAAAGGAGAATGGACAGGGAAAAAAGAACACATTTTTTTTTGATAAAATCTAGGAAAGGGGTTTTCACTGGACCATGTTCCAGAAAGAAGAAAACAAAAGAACAGATCTCAAGGTGAAGACAGAAATGGCAGGCTTGGAACAAGTTTTCCAGATTTTAGTAAAGAGAAAGTGAATGTCACAGTAAAGCACAAAAACAATCCTCTTCAATCACTAAAAATGGTTCAAGAAACAGATCAAAGAAACAATTTTTACAACATTTACAAGAAAAAAAACACAAGAATTGAACTATGGGTAATTCCCCAATGTTTCATACACTATGAATCACCTCTATAAATGATGTCATCTGCATGAAAGTCTTCAGCTTTGCTCTTGATGTTGAACCATTTCTTGACCAGAGTCTTGGTCCATGAAATCTGGATGCAAAAGGGGAAATTTCCTTGAGAAACAATATGAAATCAATTAAAGAAAAACCAAAGAATCTCAACCAGCAGAAACCTTGTTCTTCTTCAAGCTCCCATCTCTCATAATTCCAGAACTTCCTTGCACAGAGGAGATTGGTGGGCTAAAATAGAAGCCAATTGTTGGGGAGGATAAGATAAGAGGAGTTGTCTTGCATTTTGATTTCAGGGTATTTTGGGCACCACCAAAATCCAGCCAAAGAACCCACCTTTGAAGATAGTACTAAATGGGGGCAATGCAGAGGTGACAAGATTGACTCCCAGGAGCTAGGCTACTGGGTCAAGAATGAACAAGAAAACAGTGTATATAGGATTATAGGATGCCCCAGAGAGAGAGAGAGAGAGAGAGAGAGGGCTAATAGAGTAATAAAAGATGTGGTGGGATGATTCAGTTGTTTGTTCTCTAAAAAAAACTGGAAATAGGAACAGCAAAATGTCGAAATTGGAGAATGATATGAGGTGAAAAAGTACAGAGGCAAACTCTTTTGTACCGCCCGCTCCCCGCTAAAGAAAAAGAATGAAACCCAAACCCCTCCCCCCCATCTAATGAATTTTATCAATATTGTTGGGCACACCACTTTACCACACCCCCAAAATTTTAAGGAAAATGCTATTTTAACCCCTATATTTAAATTCTACGGACTACTCCCTCCGTCCCCCTGTATTTGTCCACTTTCATTTTTGCACACCATCCAATGCACTTTTTTAATCCATTTTATCTTATAATTTATATATTAAAAAATTATAAAAATTATATATTAATAATCTATATGTTAAGACAAATCAAACAAGATAACACATGACGATATTTAAGCTTACACATTGAGAGAATTTGATGAGTTAAAGTGCTTAGATGAACAGTTCCAAAAATCAAATATGGACAAATACAGGGGGACGGAGGGAGTACATTTTAATCTCATTCTTACAAACATTTGATATTGTTTTGTGTCTGTAAATAACTGCAATATCTGTAAGACTATAATTAAAGGGTAGAATTAAAATGTTGGGGTCAATTAAACATAATTCAAATTTTAATCATACATTTTTTGTAGGGTGAATGAATATTGATGGGTGAATGAAACACATATGGTAGATGGTGAAATGGTGTAATCCTGAAAATCAGTGACTGATCTAGAAAATTAGAGAATCGAGTGGGAGAATTGGGTGAGGGTTCGGGAGTAGCAATCCCGTAATTTTTTTTCACCAGAAGTTAATATGAAATGACAAAAATAGTGTTAAATTGTATCTCAAATTATAAATTAGAGTAAATTCCATAAAATGTACCTCGTTATAGGTCGTTTTACATATTTAATATCAAATATTACTAATTTTATCTCCAATTATTATATTCATTTCCACGAATAGTCCTTTGTTAAAATTTCCGTTAGGAACGTGGATAAAATTATAAATTCACACTCCTTTCTCTCCTTAATTAAGCTTCTTTCCTCCCCTCGCACTCCTTTCCCAAACTCGTCGCTGAGTTTGAAGCTTTGAACCCAAAACTGAAATCATCACTCTTTTCTCAATTGTTTATCTAACTGGTGGAATCCAAATTCGAAACCAGTAACCTCCATGAATGAGTTTTAATGTTTATTTTCTTTGTAATTTTCTTGAGACTAACCGATAAAACTTAATGGTTTTGATTGTAGGCTCCACCAAGAAGACTAATAATTGAGAGATGAATGATCATTTCAGTTTTGGGTTTGGAACTTCAAACTCAGCGACGAGTTTGAGAAAGAGTACGAAAGAAGATAGAAAGCTTAATTGAGGAGAGAGAAATATGAATATACAATTTTATTCATGTTCTTAACAAAAACGTTAACAAAGGCCATTCGTGAAAAATGATATAATAATTGGGGACTAAATTAATAATATTTGATATATAGGGACAAAATATGTAAAATGACCAATAAATGAGGACCTTTTATGAAATTTACTCTATAAATTATTACACATAATTTATAACTAAGTAAATAATCACTTTAAATTTTATAAATTATACATAAATAAATTACTAAAATTAATTTAAAATTAAAGTGCTAAAATATTTCGAATTTTTTTAATTATAATCCTATAAATTTTTTAAAGGGGCACTAGTTTTATTTAAAAAAATGGATAATCGAATTAATAATTGATTTTTTTAATGCATTGGTCGAAAATGAAGGAGAAAGCAATAATATATCACAAACTTTTTCATAAGTAGAAATTAAAACCTTTTTTTGGACAAACAAAAAAATACAAAACCTTTTTTAAGGAAAATATAAAATCTTTTTGTGAGAGGAATGAAGTAAGAGTGAACAGAGGCAATATGAGTTTTGATATCAAGAGATATCAAAATTTTTACATATTTGTTTTGGGTAGTCAAAACAAACTTCACTTTTAATAGCTTTTGATATGAATATGGTCGTTTTGATCTCTCCCTCATCCCTTGGCCACCTATTGTTGTCGGCAACTCATCCCCCAAGCTACATATTGCCACGTGTCACCCCACTTACCCCTCGGCAATGCCGTCAAACCACTTGTTATGACAGACACGAGAAAGTATGAATACGAATAATTAATAATCACGAAAACAACAGAGATTTAACGTAGTTTACTAACAACCTAGTGTCGAGATGACTCCTTCTGAAGCTTAGATTGCCCTTGATGGGGCTCGGATTGCCCCGTACGGGCCAGATTGCCCCTTCTCATGGCGCAAACCGCCTCATTGAGGCGTAGAAACAGATGATTCTTTTAGGTGATCAACAATCTCAATCATTGCAGATGGAACCTCCACCTTAACATCAAGACTTTCATCACCTCTATGAATTTCAGATGATGCAACAATGACAAATCCCTGTAGGAGATATAAGGTACCATGCTTAATATCTTTCAGAATCACCTTCGAATCCTTGTACACATTCATAACTCCACCTTTACCTTTGAAACTAAAACCCTTACTATCAAGACGAGTCAAGGATATCAGATTCTTCGTCATTTGTGGAACATGCCTAACTTTATTCAAGGTACAGAATGTACCATCATGAGTCCTCAACCTGATGGAGCCTATTCCAACTACCTTGTAGACAACTCCGTTGGCCATGGAAACATCACCCTCGTCTATCTCCTCATAAGTTGAAAACCACTCCCTATATGGACTGATATGATACAACGCCCCAGAGTCAAGAACCCACACATCCTTACAATGTGTTTGGTTATTGACAACTAAAACTAAATCTTCTTCAGAGTTTGAATCATCAGCTTCTGCCATAGTTGCAGAACCGTGAGCATCCTCGATCTTGTCCTTTTTCTTCATTTTCTGCTTAGCACAATCAAACTTCCAATGCTCTGGTTCTTTACAATAGTTGTAGATGTCATCGGGCTTTAACTAAATTCATTTTCTAACACCACCATCAGTGTCAATGTTGCCTATCATCACTATCGTCATCAATGACCACTAACTGTCACTAAGAATCATTATTGTGAACCTCTGTAAACACTTTAATTTCAGAGCTAATATAATAATAACTTTTAAGTTCAGAATAAATTCTGGAACCTATATCAACTTAATTAAATAAAAAATTAAATTGAACGAATATTTTTAGGCAGACGAGTGAAGTTTAATTTTATCTATAAGTAATTCAAACAGTTCCTTTTTTCGTGTTGAAAGAAGGGTAGTAGAGACAGCTCATACATTATTATTCAACTCTAAAAAAGAATGAATTCAATTCCCAGCTTTTCTTTTACAAAAGAAGACACTATATATTTCAAGTGTGTTGGCCGGTTGGTAAATGGAGGAATATGTTGCTTTTGACAAAATGCCATGAAAAAATAACAGAAAACTAACTAACAACTGATTACTCCATATTACTCAAACCATAATTCAATTCTTGAGTTCTTTATCGTATTTCATGATATAGTTGAACTAATAACTCAAGCTGAAAATATTTAAAATTCAAACAAGTGCAATATGATTTAATAAGATTGTTTTATGTATTTAGTTCCTATTCTGGTGTTTCGATAATTTTTGTTTAATTTATAATTCTAGTTTCCTCCATTAAATAAGACTGTCTTATGTGTTTAGTTACTACTCTATATTTTTGTTCAGTTAATATTTTGGGACTGAGGGAATACAAAGTTTGCAAAGAGCCCCCCAGACTCGATGGATGGTCATTGAGAAAAGATAAATTGAACTTTGATCGGAGATTGGCGCCAAAGAGAAGAGTCTGCACCTGGTATTTGCAAAAGCTCCATGCTTATATATACATAGTTGTCTCCTACTGCAAGTGCCAAAAATCAAACTCGAGTCTTACGCTCTTGGCACTCCTTATCTTGCCATCCGCAAAATATGCATTGAGAGGTAAGTGAAGAAATTAAAGCTAGAGTTGCTTTATTGGGGCTTGAGAGCCTTGGGAATATTTGATGCGTGGGAAATTTAACTGCACAAACTTTAATCTCATTTTTTTATTCCACTTTTTTTTTAATCTAAAAAATGGGTCAATATGAGGAAGAGCTGTCGAGTTCCAACAAAGAATATACCGAGCAAACTACTACGAATTCTTTAATTTTTTTTTAAAGATGTTACATACGGAGTACTTTTATTTTGTTTCATTATTTGAATTGAATATTGATATAAATTAAAAAATAATCTCTCCGTTCAAATACAATTCCCCTTTTTATAATAACATTTTGTTAAATTTATTTGTTTGCATGTTATCATTCATCATTTGTTAAAATAAAATATTCTTGTTATCTCATTTTTTTTAAATTTTTTTATGTAGTAAAAAAGACAAGTGAAAATAGGTTGTAAAAGAGTACTCCATATTTTGTAAAATACTCACTATTTTGTTTGATTTTTGAATAGTGATTACAAAAATGAAGCAGGTAAAATAAAAGGTCTAACGAGAACCAAGAGCTCTTAACTTTAATATTATTTTAAAGGATTCTTCTCCCATGCCTTCTTATTTCAAAGGGCATGGATGCCCTCCAATTTAAATAGTGACATGTGGACAAATAATAAAGAAAGTTAAATGTATGGAGCATTCCACAAAGTGATATGGAGCAACGTTAATTTCAAAATTTGCAAAATGCTCCCTCTAAATGGCACACATTACTCTTATCAATTATTTAATCCACCATTTATTATTTTTTCCTTCTTTAACAAATCACTCAAAATAAAAGTAAAATATTTATTTCCAAAATACTATCTTTGTCTAGAAGTATTTGTCCAGTTTTGTACAGTAATAATCTGATATTGTATATCGACATTCTACAAGTATTTTTCGATATTATATATTGAC